TGCAACTACAACTTGGTGACTTTCTCTATTTTAAAAACTTTTTGTTAATTCCAGGAACACACATTGGCTTAAGTTTTTTTTTAATCAGTACAATTTACCATATTGTCAGACTAAAAGATACCGTATAATCATCTCAATAGATAAAGAAAAATCATTTGACAAATGTCAACATCCATTCCTACTTTTTAAAAAATTCAGCGAGTTAAGAATAGGCAATAATTTACCCCACCTGGCAAAGGACATCTATAAAAAACTATAACATGATCAATGAAGAAAGACTGAAAGCTTTCCCCTTAAGGTTAGAAACAAGTCAAGAATGTCAGCTCTCACCAGTGCTATTCAACATTTTCTTGGAGTTCTAGCCAGTACAATAAGGCCAGTATAAGATTCCACCAATGTCCAGATTGAAAATGAAGAAGTAAACCTGTCTTTATTTGCCACAGAGATGATTCCATACACAGAAAGTCCTATGAAATATATAAAAAGGCCATTAGAACTAACAAGTAATCTAGGCAAGCATGTAGAATACAAGATTAATACAAAAGTCAATTATGTTTATACACGCTAACAACTGAAAATTGAAACTGTTCAGATTACCATTTACAGTAGCATTAACAATGTGAAGTAGAGATAAATCTACCAAAAAATGATGCCCACTGCCAACTGAGATAAATTTAAAAAGACAAAAATTAAGAGTTATATTGTCTTTGTAGTTTGAACGATGCAATATTGTTGTGGAATTACTCCCCAAATTGCTTTGTACATTCCATGCAACCCTTGTCAAAATTCTAGCAGACTGGTTTTTCCAGAATTGAAAAACTGATTTTATAATTTGTATGGAAATTCAGAGGGCGTAAAATAACCAAAACTATTTTTGAAAAATAAGAATTAGTTCCGCACTACCTAGCCTCAACTTGTGAAGTTCCAAAATCAAGACAATGTGGTATTGACCTATGCACAGACAAACAGAATTAAAAAACTAGAGTCCATAAACAGACTCATACACGTATGGTTGTTGGTTTTCAACAAAGGTACACAACAATGCAGTAGATATGATTTTTCCACATTTGATGCTAGAAAAAGTGGATATCCATATACAAAAAATAAACTCTGATCTGAATTGCACACCATTCAAAAATTAGCTCAAAATCTCCTAGGGGAAAACATTCAGAAGGGGAAAACATTCAGAAGAGGAAAACATCAACCTTCACCCCCAAGTCTCCCTGAAAACAGCCCCTGCAGGTTCCCCAGAATCAGCTCTCACTGTGTCCCACCACAGCTACTTCAGAGGTTTTGCTACACCCTGGGGAGACACAAAAAACTCATAGTCATATCTTTCTGCTTTTCAAGAGCATCAGATATGCCACTGGTGACAAGGGGACATGCTGGCTTATCATAAGCCCAGTGCAATAGCAGTTGGGGTCAGAGGGCCCTTTTGGTTTGGGCGACAGCTCTTTCAGTGAAGCTTCCAATCCCACAACACTGCAGGCTCAAGGACTGGGGCCACCCTCCTAGTCATGCTTGCCCGAAGGTAAAGAGAAGTAAACAGCAGAATGAACTCCAAAAGGCTCGATCAGCCGTTGTACGTGTTTTAACTCCACTCACATCAGTTCAGGGTAATATTCTGACACTGTATGGGTCTTTGTGAATTGGGATGAACATAATTTTCTTATATATGGCACCCAAAGCACAATCCATTAAACATCATGAATCCCAATTGGAATTAAGAATTTCTACTCTTTTCAAAAACATCTTAAGAGTGTAAAAGAAATGACTGACTGGAGGAAAATATTTACAAGTGACATAACTTACAAAGGACTCACATCCATAACTTGTATGTAAACTATACTCAAAACTCAGTAATATGAAAATAAATACCCCATTTTTTAAATGGTAAAAAAATTTGATTAAATACTTCACCAAAGAAGTTATATAAATGGCTTATAAGAACATGAAAATATACCTAATATGATTTGCCAATAGGTAAATGAAAGTTAAAGCCACAATGAATTGCCACATCATGCCTATATAAGAATGGCCAAAATTAAAAGATTAACCACACTATGCATTGGCAAAGATGTTGAGCAATGAGACTCTCATACACCGTTGATTGGAATGTAAAATGGTACAAACACTTGGGAAAATAGTTTGGTAATTTCTTAAATAGTTAAATATACACCTGACATTTAACACAGCCACTCCCTTGTGTTTATCCAAGAGAAAGAAAAACAGATGCCCATACAAATATTTGTAAATGATTGCTCATAGCACATTTATTTGCAATAGCCCCAAACTTGGAACAACTCAAATGTCCATCACCAGCAAAATGCATACACAAATGGTAGTATATTTGTTCAATTGAATACTATTCTGCAATAAAAAAAGAAAAGAGCTATTTATACAGGCAGCATGGATGAATGTCTAAATCCTTAGTTGAATGAAAGAACTCTTTCCTACCCCACACATCATAAAACAAAAAATACAATGCTATACAATACAATACTATATATACAATACTATAGATACAATACTATTCTATACAATTCTTTTAATACAAAATTCTAGAAAATAGATATTTTTATAATGAAAGAAATCAGATCACTAGTTACCTGGGGATGGTGGGAGTGAATTGTGGTGAGGAGAAAAGACAAGAAGAGATGATAAAGGGACAAAGGGAAACTTTCAGTGGTGATTCACCAATTTGTGGTATTTTCGTATATGTCAAAACTTATCAAACTGTACATTTTGACAGGGACTATTTCATGTCAGTTATACTTCAGGAAGGCTGTTGTTAAAAAACCTTTAATGATTTTACTTTATTCAGTGGAGGAAAATCTGATCAATTTCTATATCCGGTACTTTAAAATAAAAAATTAATTTATTTTCAAGAAGTGCTTCTATTGTCATTTATAAGAACATTTGGACAATGTAATGTGTGGTTGCCAAAGTGAAGCCAGATAGTGAGATCTCTAAAAAGCAAATTTGTGTTAACAAAGGTCTGCTATAATACAGTATAACCCAGTTCACTGTAGAGTTCTGCAGGGACACATGCTGACTCAGGAGGCCTGTTCATTTCAGAGAATCTTAAAGAAAAGCCCAGATAGAAGAGCATGTGACCAGTAGCTTAGATTATTGGGATGGGAAATGTGTAGGCAGAAGTATGATAATAGAAATGTACCCAGATGGTATTTGCTCCAAGTCTTCCTGAAGTTGACCGCATTCTTCACCCCACCCAACATGCACAGAGTGAGGGGTACCACCATCCCATGGTTATGTCTGCTTGGCTCATCTTTCTAACCTGTGGGAAGGCAGCCATGAAGTCCTGTCCTGAAGAATGAAAAGGCTGTAACACAGAGATCCCTGATGTTCTCTGCCCACTGAGAAGAGCAAAGGGAACTAAGGTCATCCAAGTGTATGTTCTGGAACTGATTTTTGTGTTTTTGCCAGTTTCAATAAAAGATTCAATGTGACAGTTGTGCTGCCAATGGTGGCATGGAAAGGGCCACTATGTTTCTGTGACCAGGAGAAAATTACTTTGGCTCCAACCAGCAGTACAAAACAGGGTTCTGCCTGCAGCGATCAAAGACAAGCCAGTGATCAAAATGAGGTTGTGAAGGAAACTGTTGTTTGTGCTACAGTTTACATGTGTCCCCAGAAACTTCACATGTTAGAATCTTAATTTTTCTGTTGAGCAGTGCTGGGGATTGGATTCCAGTGGGTGGTGTTTGGGTCATACAAGTGGAGACCTCACCAGTGCATTAATGCTCATGGAGTGAGTTCTTGCTCTTGCAGGATTGGGTTGGTCACTGAGAAAGTGGACTGTTACAAAGTAAGCCTGGCCCATTCCATGTGTTTTGTCTCTTCCATAGGTGATCTCTTACCTTTCTGCTCTTCTCCATAATTTAAAGTACACACAATCTGTCACCAAGCTCTTAGACATGTTAGTTGCCAGTCATCTGTAACCCCTGGCCATATGTAGTGTAGCTGATACAACCAAGTAACTGAATTCTAAATTTTATTTAATTTTAGCTAATTTTACTTTGCATTTGCACACAAAGGTCATGAACAGTTTTAACCTGTCATGAAATAGTCTGTGTTTCAGTTGGTAGTGTATAATATTGCCTTGGCTGAGTGAAATTTTAAAAACTAAATGAATTGCTACAAAGAAAAAGCACCAATACTTTGCTATTCTGTATTTGAGAGCATCTCAAAAATAGTACATTTTTTTCTTGTTCCTCTTTGTTTTTCCTGTTGAATACAAAGAAAAAATTTAGAAAATATAGCATAGGTATTTTTAAAAGGAAAGCCCATGAATTTCATGAAGGAAATAAGAATCAAGATACGCTATGTAAAGGTACAAATTTCCAATGATGATTGTATACCTAAAATGTACCAATAAAATTAATTTTAAAAAATGTTTTCTATCAAGTTCTATATAGTGTGCAAGGAAATTATTCTATATGTGGTATTTTTGCTGCTCAACGTTCACTCACATTTTTCCTGGTACCAGAACAATCTTTGTCTGTTTGTTCTGAGTAATAATCAACACCTCTCTAATCCATTCACTTCTCCCACCACTGCCCTAGCACACAAACATGGGAAGTGTTTGGTGTAGGAACTTTCTCATCGTGCAAGTAGAACCAATACAATAGTTTTATAAGACTGTAGCAATGTTGCTGGAGGGCTGGAAGGTGAATACAATTCGAGTAGTGAGTCTCCCTGTTAGAGCCGAGGGAGTCACCAACAGAAAGGAAAGTGGAACAAAGAAACTAAAAAAAATTGAGTCTAATAATGATGTTTGAACCCCAACATCCTGTCACAGATAAAGCCTGCCCTGGGAAAACTATTTTTAAATAACAGCTTTATTGAGGTATATAATTTATACACCACAAATTCATCTGCTTAAAGTATAACATTTGTTTTTAGTACAATCCCAGATTTGGGTAACCAATAAAACAATAGATTTTATAAGATTTTCACCACTCTCCAAAAACCCTGTATCCATGAGCAGTTACTCTCCTTCCTCTGCTTTCTCAGCCCCAGGTAACCACTACTCTATTTCCTGTCTCTATGGATTTGCTGATTCAAGATGTTTCATAGAAATGCAATCATATCATGTATGGCTTTTTGTAACTAGTTTTTAAAACTTAATACAATGTTGTCAAAGTTCATCAGAGCAATAGTATATATAAGAACCTAATGCTTTTTAGTGTCCAAAGTAAGAAAAATTCAAATGAACCTTTTATTTTGGAATATGTTTTTTGGTTTACAAAAAGTTGCAAAGATAGCACCCTTACTCTTCAGCTAGTCTCTTCTAACGTTAACATCTTATATAACCACAGCACATTTGACATAACTAAGAAGTAATGCTAACTAAACTATAGCTGTCTTGGGATTTGACTTTTTTAAAACAAAATATCTTTTTTCTATTTTAGTCTCTAATCTAGAAATCCACATTGTATTTAGTATTCATGTTTCTCCTGTCATCTAGAACAGTTTTTTCAGTCTTTTTTTCTTGTTATTCATGACCATGACATTTTGAAGGGTGTAGGTCAGATATTTTCATTTCCCACAATTTAGCTTAGTCCCATGTATTTTTCCATCATGATTATACTAGGATTGTTTGTTTTGTAAGAATAGAATGACAAAAAAAAGAATAGCATGGAGGAGAGGGGCTGTCCTCTTCACAGCAAATCGGTGGACAACTGATAGCCACAGGATTTATAACTGGTAAGTTAATCTTGATCACTTGGTTAAAATAGTCTCTTCCAAGTTTCTTTTCTGTAATGTTATTGTTTTCTCTTTTATTCCATTCTCTATTTTTTTGGAGGGAGTCACTACATCCATCCCACAATCAAGAATAATGTAATGAATTAATATTTCTTTGTGGAGGGGGGAAAATATACATTAACTATTGGACATTCTTCTGTAAAGAAGATATACCCCTATCTTTTTCACTTTTTCATTTTTTTCATTATTTATTTACACCAATATGAACTTACCAATATTCATTTTATTCTTTTTGTTAGACTCCAATACCATCATTATTTATGTTGGTGTCTGTGCCCTTTTGATACAGCTGTTTTTGTGCTTTCTTCTTACTAGCTCTTCCTTACTTTCTAGAACATGACACTTCAATCTTGTCTTGCATTTTCCTTGCTCTGGTCCCAGGATCAATCATTTATGCAAGGAACCCTACTTTCTTTTATTGGAGATATTGAAAGGTCAAAATAAGGGCACTGAATGTATTTCCTGCTACTGGGATGTTATTGCTGCTGAGCCAATGAATGCGTGAATACTAACTCATGCATGAGTACATGTATTAGTCAGCTTTCCCATCACTGGGACCAAACACCAGATATACACAGCTTCAAGGAAGACAGGCTTAATTTGGTTCACGGTTTCAGTCTATGGTAGACTGGCTCTAAGGCAGAAACATCATGGCAGAAGGACGTGGTGGAGCAAAGCTGTTTACTTCATGGCAACCAGGAAGCAAAGCACAGGGGGAAAGCACCAGCAAGAGATAGACCTTCCCATGGCATGACCCTAGTGACTCAGCACAAATGGGCCCTGCCTCCTAATAACACATTCATCTATACCAATCTTGTGAAGATCACTTAATTATAATGATCATGATAAGAATCCCCAATTTTCCAAGAAGTAAAGCTAAGTAACTTCTAAGCAATACAACTAGATTAAAAAATCAGGTTCTCTGACTCAAATTCTCATGCCCTGTCTTTTCCCTTAGGTTATCGATAAGGATGTTACTGCAGATGCTGAACACTGATATCACATAGAACATTGGACTTTTTCAGACAGAGGTTCACATATCATCCAAAAGAGCTATAGGAGGTCCCTGAATCCTAAGCTCAGAGTGCCAGCCTATAATCCTTTTGTCATCACACTATTATGCACAGATCTATGACATAAATACTAATGTTGTTAAATAAATACAAAATAATGTAAATGACTTAAAAATCTTATAAACATTTCAATTTGTTCTTTTCCTCTTTCTCTTTCTCCTCCTCCTTCATCTTCTTCCTCATTTTCTTTCTTATTTTGGCCAACTCATTTTTTTTTCCAAATTGTTCACATAGAAATAAGAAACTCAACAATAAAGTTTTAAGATTTTATAATCTAAATTATTTCAGGTTTGCTAGCAGCTTTTATGATAAACCTGGAAAAAGACATAGGGTCTATGTTAGTTCATTTCATCTGGTAGCTGCCTGGTAAATGTTTGTTGAATGAACCAATTACTCAAATCAACAAGTACTTGCCAAACGAAACTCTGTAGAGGTGCAAGAAGAAAAGGTCTCTGCCCTTACAGATCAGTACCCTTGTTGAAAAGACTAACCATAAACACCCAAACAAGCTCAGAGTTAACAGTATGAGTTCAGGATAATTGTAAAAAGAGCCAGCATTAGATTAATTGTCAGTTAAGTGATGGGTAATAGAGAATGAAGAATTTCACAGTAACCAGCAGCTATTCAAGCAGAGAGGAGCAAATGGATGGCTTACAGAGAAAATGACCTCAGTCTAGTTCTAAACGGTGGCTAAGCTTTGGAAAGATGAAGAAGGGATGGAGGGCCGGAAATTTAGCTCAGTGGTTCTACCGCCTGCCTCGCAAGCACAAGGTCCCGAGTTTGATCCCCGGTAACCCCCCAAAAAAGAAGGCATGGAGGTGGGCTGTTGCCAAGGCCGGGCCTGAGAATGGAAAAATGCAAATATCCTGTCTGAGAGGCCTACCATCTGCCATTAAAGATACTGTGAAAGAGTCCTTAAGATAAAGTTGCATATGTTCATGCAATTAGTAGTCTTTAATTATAAATCTAAATGAAGCAAAATGTTGGGCTGGGGTGTGGCTTAGCAGGAGAGCACTTGCTTAGCATGTGCAGTTCCCTGAGTTCCAGACCCAGCACTGAAGAAACATAAAAACCCAAAATATATCAAGTACTTTTTAGGACTTCAGAGACTAAAAGCAGGGAAATAGCTGAACCTCAAGTTTTTAAAAATCAGGTGATTTGGGGGGATTTTCTTTACTTTGTAACTAAATTCTAAAGAAATATCATTTAGAAAAGTTTTCCCAAAGTTTTTTCTATGAGTTAAAATCTCTATGATCCATATATTCTGTGTTTATGAATCAAAGTACAACTATTTAAATAATCAAGTTAATTAACCCTTATGAATATGAGGACTCAGCAATTCTCACCATGATACGTTGAAAAAATACCTTCTGAATTTTTTTGTCTTTTATTAGCCTACCTTACTTCTTTCAACTTTTGTGTTTTCAGTTCAGATTATGTACTATGTAGGAAATCATTTTTTTCTGCTTCTCTCGCATTCCTTAGGATTGTATCAGTTTTAAAGGTTGCCCCTCTCATCCCAGTAACTGGAGGTCCAGTGGGTCTTCTGAAGTCTGTACTTCCTGTTATGGCACAGTTCTACCCAGACTGAAGACTAAGGTTTCTGTATATGTTCATTTTCTGTAGTTAAATGAAACAAATAGAAATTCTTTTTGTTCTTAGAAGTATATGCTTGGTTTTTAAACTAGACTTTCTGATTTAAGATTGAGACTAAAACAAAAACTTTCCATGTACTAGGGAAGTCTAAAAAAAGAAAATTAAAAGGAACGTATCTGGTATTGGAGAAAAATTGTCATCTTCCTTCCAAATAGTGCTACAGGCACATGTCAAGGAGGCATCTAAGAATAGGAAAAGAAAGTATTTTTTGTTTGTTTGTTTTTACTGTTTAATGTAGCTGTATGAGGGAGCACCAAATCTTCATTTCCTTGGAAACAATCCCACACCCTTGTTCACCCAGAGTTCTTTTCTTCCAACTAAGAACAGACCCTCAAATTTCAGAGAATCATAGAATTTTAAATCTTAGACAGTCTAATTTTAATAAACAACATAAAGGCACAAGAATAATCAATAGTGTGAGCATCTACCCAGCATATCTTACCTTCTAATCTGTACTCACCTTCAAGCAAAGAACAGTCCAGCAATCTTCAACTTTTTCTAAAAGCTCTACTGATACTGGGAGTGCACATCTTGGCAGACAGTTCCCCTTGCCTGGAATGACCAGCTCCTTTTGTGCTAGAAACATGCTTGCACATCCTTCAGGACCCAACGCAAAGGTCTCTTCACCACGGAGCCTTCCCAGGTTCTGTTTTCCTGGAGTACTACTCAGTTGATACATCTACCACGGGAGGCATTATGGTGTATTACAGTAATATGTTACATGTCTGTAAAGACCACATCACTTATTTTTATATATCCATTGCCTAGCACAGTTCTTGACACATAAATAGATAATTGATAACTAATGATTGAATCATTGGCCAGAACATGCCTCCAACAGATTGGCCATATACTTTCAGATCTGTTTCATATCTAAATTGAAATAATTAATTCTGAGCCCCACACCTTCTGGAAATAAACTAAATTAGGATGGTTGCTTGTTTTCAAAATTCTTTAATATGTTTGTTGAATGAGTTATTAACCACAACCTATTATTCATTCAATCCAAGGCATACAGGGTCATTCAGACTTTACCTTAGAAAAGTTAATCATCCGACTCAGAAAAACTAAAGGAAAATGAAACTAGAGTTTGGTTACTTTTGCCTTTTTGTAAGAAGTCTCTTTGTGTATTAACTAAATATGATTTGGCTTCATAATTGAGTCTTCACATCCTCAGGTAAGATCTTTCATCAAGTTTGTTTTAGGGACTAAGAAGAACAGAGTCCAAGATTGTGTGCTGCACACACACACACACACACACACACACACACACACACACACCCTCTGGTACTACCAAATACAAGATGTCAAAATTTTAAAACTCAACTTTAAAAATGTTGGCTCTATCCTTATCCTTCAGTCTGGTGATAAAATAGGAGTTACTTACTCTGGGAACTCTGGTAGCATGACTGATAAATCTTTTGCTTCAGGATCAGGCCCCAGCACTGGGTTTTTGTGGGTTCTCTCCATTACCATCACTGGTTTTATATGTTTATGTAAAATGAGCCAAAGTGGGCCAAATGTTCATCTTCCATGAAAAGGCCACAAACCTGTCAGAAAGGAGAGTTCAGCAGGAGTTTTGGATATGTTTTTTGTATAGAAATCAAAACCTGCATAAAACTTGGTATGAGCAAACTGTAAACATCCATGGGAGGAAAAAAAATAAATTCAGCAAATTGGCAAAGACTCATGGCTCTTTGACTCTTCTGGTATAAGTTTTATGTTTTCCTCTAAAACAAAAATACTAGTATTTATAATTATGCATACTAAGTAGTTGCTAACCACATGCTCTACCATTGAGCTACACGCCAGCCTCAAAATATGTATGGGTGCAAATATACATTTATACACATACATATATATGTGAAAATATATTTGTAGAGAGAAAGCTCTGTTAAAATTACATTTAAAACAAATTACCAGATAGATCTTATTAACTACTAGAGACCTATAAAAATAATAATCTAATGATAGTATATAAAATTATGCTTTCTCATTATACATCCCAATCAAATAAATGCCTTTTCACTTGGAAATGAAAGTAGAGACATACCAGAAAAAGATATTCATACGTGTATGTCCCAAGTACGGCAAGAAGGGACTGAAAAATATGAAAGCCTATCTTGCAAGCCAGTCAGGCCACTTTGATGGATTCCAGATGTTTATGAGCTTATTGTAAACTTTGAACTGTTATCTGAACACTGAGCATTAGCTCACTATTATATCATTCTTCATATCCCCTAAGATTTGAATAGATATGTCTTTGTACTTGGGAATTGAAGAGGAAAACAAAAACCCAAGCCCACCCATTAGGTTGCCAAAACCCTTAACCAAGATACTCTCAATCTATTTTCTAACTTACTCCTTAAAATAACAATGAGATGTTTCAGGCCAGTTCTCTAAAGCTTTCAAAATGTAAATCCTAGTTTTCAAAGATTAATTGCTCTGAATCTTGCTTTTTGGGAAATCACGGGACACTGAAATAAAAATAATTATTTATAAAAATTATAATTATAATAAAAATAATTATTAAAGTATAATTATAAACATTATATTATATAAATTATAATTAAATTATATCATAATTATTTATAATAAAAACTAAATAATTATTTATAAAATTATTAATAATTATAATGAAATTATTAATAATTATTTATAAAAATAAAAACTATATTGTTTCAGAGCACTGATGTATTTTTTGTCCCAGACAGGACACTAGGTGCGTGAAATACTTGGTGCTCGGAGCCATGGTCTCTATCCAGTCTACCTGGTTCCACAGCTTCCTGTGCTCCTCTGCCTTAACTCAAATTATCACAGCATTTAAATGTCTTCCACATCATCTGAGTAAGACAAGGGCTTTTTTTTCTGTATTGCAAATAAAAGACAAAGTTCCCTTCTGTGGTGTGTTCTCTGAGTAACTAAATACAATGAAAGACAGAGACAAATGGGGAAAACAACTCTGAAAGTCAGAAAGCACTGGACAATTTACACAAATCAGTTCCCTTTCTCTGGTAACAATGACTCACTGTGACTGGATATGACCTAACCCTCTTCTTCCTTTGTGAAATTGCCCCCTGGAAGTCCTGTGTCACTGCTATTATGGGAGGTAGTCATTCAACTAGGTGTAGAATTGTGTCTAGTGTCCTGTGATTCTGTTCCACACTGAACATCACTTTAAATCTAAGAGTTTGTTACTTTAAATCTAAGAGTTTGTTTTCGTTCATTGATCTCCATACTCAAGGTCACCAAATTAGCAAAGCTCTTCAGGACATCTGTGTCATAAGATGTTTGACGCTGTTAAGTACAATCAGGAATGATTACTCAAGTCCAGTTTAGTTATGTGGAAACCCAGCACTGTTACTCATCCATAACAGTGTTTTCTGGGGAGAAATTATTGAGGAAAAAGAATTGCTTTATAAGACTGAAAACTTACTTTTTATTACAGAAAAAATGGTGCATCTCATTAATAACACCTAGTAGATGGTATGTATCCTTTCACTTTCAGAAATAATTATTTTCTAGCTATCACATGCTAAGAATTCTTTGTTCCATCCAACCTTTGTGACATGATGGTGTCATGTTTTTTGTTCCCTAACCAGTGATTTCCCACAAACTAAGCTACTTGAAGCTACAAAAAATTATTTTTTATCTCCTACTATGTTGTTTATGATTCTAGTTAAAAGGGGCCAAATAAAAATATATTAAAGACTATACCCTTTGGTAAGTTAAATGTCCTACTTCCTGGACACATGTACTACAACTTTCTGAACTGTGAAGTGGGTAGACTACATTTTCATCAGCAGAGGCATCAGCAGGTACCAATCACATGAAGAAGGAATCTGAAAATAGGAAAGCAGTCCCTCATTGTGTCTTGAAGTAGGTAGACGTTGGAGCACAGCTCATTGTGCTCTGCTTGAGGAGGCAGGGACCAGGAAAAAAAAAAGTCAGATATAGATTCAAAGGGAAATTCTAACTTTAGCAAATCTTCTAAGAAAGGGAGAAGCCTTGTTTAAATCACAATGGAAAGCTCATAGGCAAGTCTGAAGTGAAATTTGTTAAGTTTTGTGGTGATTCTTAATTTTGCCTTTTTCTCCCATGTCTCTTTTCCCTAGGATTTAAACCAGAGAACACCTTGTGAAGTGCATTGGACTCAGATGAGTGCAATGACAGTCATCACAGAATGAAATAGGTAAGTAAATTTAAAACATTCAATAACATCTGTTGCCAGAGAGCTGAGCCCGTGTAGCTCATGTAGAACTTCATGGATGAGAAGTAGCCAGAAGAAGTGTTTGCTCTGTCCCACAAGAAAGAAACCTATGTGTCCTGAGGGTGTGTCCCTGGCCCTGAGTTTGGATGAGGCTAAGCACCACAGGTGCATAGTAGCCAATCAAATGAGAAGTCAGGGAGGTGAGGAGGAAGGACTGCAGAGAGAATCAATGATGGGGAAGTCATCAGCAGGTAGAACATGAAACACCAGAAGAACTGGTTTCAGGAACCTTGCAAAATCTATAGACTAATAGTGACTACTTTGAAATGAATTTTAGTAGGCATTCCTGAAATGAAGAACAGAATGTGGTAAAATGTGGAAATTAGGAAGAAAACAAGGGAGAGACAGGTGCTTGGGTAGGGTAGGGTATGAGTGCAGGTTGGAGTGGTAGTGGTTGGCCCTCAGCAGTGAGTTACGATATTAATGTATAGGGTTCACTATGCCTAGACTCCAGGTCCCAGGGTATTAGGGACTTACTGGTAGACCCAAGGGACTGAATATCTATGGACTTCTGTTTTTCAGGTTCCACTCTTAGAGTATTACCATTTCAGGTCCTTTTCTAATTTCTGTTCAGTGCCATCTGCAGCCTCTGGTATTAGTCCTTAAAGATAAGAATGAAAATAATACACAGTCCTGTCTATCAAAGAAATTGCTATTTAAAAGACGTGGTTCTAAGCTAGTCACAGTGCTTGGTAGTGAGTGGAGGAAGTTTAAAATATAACCAGTTCAGGGGTGGGGGTGTTGCTCAGTGGTAGAACAGCTGGCCGTGTCCATGCAAAGCAAGTGCTCTACATTTGATCCCCAGTGCTGAAAAAAAATGGAAAAAGGAAGGAAGCAAGGGAGCAAGGAAACAAAATACAATGAATCTGGAGACCCAGTTTCAATAGCTCTAGGTAAAAATGCAAACATTTGTAGGATAACCAGCATCCTTGGCCCTTCTGCTCAGGATCAACCTGGTGCTAACTAGAAAGAGGCACCTTGTCTGGGACGATCAATTTAAAAAGCTTTTTTTTTGGTACCAGGGATCAAACTCAGGACCTTGCACTTGCCAGGCAGGCACAGTGCCACTGAGCTAAAAACCCAGCCCTAAAAAGTTTTCTTTTTTTACTTCCACATGCTTCTGCCAGTGACCATTTCCTAGCCATCAAGGCTGGAGGAATTTCAGCCCTGCTCCATTCACTCAGCTGGCAGAGCCCAACCTATGCTGACACTTGCAGTGGCCCTGATTTTTAGAGGTGGTTCTTGTACAGCAGTATATGAAAACTTACTTTAATTCAACATTTCTGAAACTGCTCTGGTGATAATAATGTCTTGGTAGCTTAATAAATGAGAGATCACTGCATCTACCCTGAGTCTATTGAAGGAGGCTTTTACCCTCAGAGAAGTCTGGGAAACACTGACTGAAGGGATGACAGAACACTAGAGCAACCTTTCTCCTTGGTGTTTTCCCCTTCCTGGAGAGATCAGAAGCATCTGTTTGCTCCAGATCTCATTGTTTCCCAAAATGAAATTGAAAAGGGTAATAATACGAACCAGGAGAGCTTACTTGGAAAACATTTGTGAAGCTCCAAATGCAGGGCAGAATGACAAACTATTTATTTTCACAGGAAAAAAACCTTGGAAATATTTTCTTGTAGTTTTAGGCTTTTGCTACAACAGTGACACTTTTTCCTTTTGATCTGTGGGGAACATGTTCCAAGAAGCTTCTCAGATGTCTGGAACCATAGATTTCACTAAACCCTAATGAATTTTCTCCTACATATACATTTATGATAAAGTTTAATCACAAATTAGTCAAATAAAAATGTATAATAGACAATGTGAAACAGGAAGAAAAGGTCTAAAAGGGAAGGGGTAGTGGGAGGGGTAGGAAAGAGGAAAGAAGGGAAAGAAAAAATATGAGAAAAGGAAAAAATGGAAACAAAGTCTTTGTAAATAGAGAGGGGTGGAGGGTTGAAGGGAGGGCAGGGAAATGGGGAAAAATAAGAACCAAAATATATCATGTAAAGGTACAAATTTCCAATGATGAGTGTCATTGTATTGTATACCTAAAATGTACCAATAACCTTAATGAATAAGAAAAAAACAACAAAGAAAACAACATAAAAAACCCCCACAAATTAGTCAAGTAAGAAATTAATAATGCTGACTAATAAAATGAATAATTATAACAACATATTATAATAAAAGTTGTTTAAAACTTATGAGTTGTTTATTTCTGGGATTTTTTCCATTCAATATTTTCTGTCTGTATTTGAGTGTGGGCAACTGAAACTACATGAAATGAAAGCACAGATAAAGCAGCACTGATACACTGGGCTTGCAAAGCCTCTTTCCACAGCTGTACTATGTAAGATGGTAGATGAAGCAGATTCAGCTTTGTCATGTTATCACCACTACATTTGTCTTGCAGTACTGAGAATCAAACCCAGGACTTTACACATGCTAGGCAAATGCTCTGCCACTGAGCTACATCCCCAGCCCTTTTATTTTTATTTTGAGACAGGGTCTCACTAACTTCCTGGCCTCAAATTTGTGATTCTCCTGCCTCAACTTCCCAAGTACATGAAATTATAGGCATGTGCCACCACACCCAGGTACTCTTACATATTTCGAACACTTTATATTGTAGCAAGCTTATTGGATGATAAACTTAGTCATAAAATTAAAAGACATGGCTTTCACTATTTATAACACAATACCCATCAAAATCTATCCAGAAAAGAGGAAAAGTGAGTCTGAATAAAAAAAGTTAAAAGTGGACCCCGATGTAAGTATTATTGCTTAAACATTTCAGCAATGTAAATAAAATACATGCTTTAGAGTGCAAAAATTATCTAGAATTATTTTGATCAAAATCTTACAGTGTACAACATTAGAAGATCCAAGCCTGCAATGTATGATGTTTACAATTACAATAATAATAAATGTCTTATTCTTCTAAATTTAAAGAAAATTACTATTACAGTGACCTCTGAAAGCTAAATTTTATTTTTAAAGGTATTCTGGTTAAGAGGTGGATTAGTAATGGGTAAATGGTTGTAATATAAATCAGGATAACTTTTGTATGTCCCTGGCTGGTATTTGTGACCAGCTAAGATCTTTGATTATTTGATGGTCTAATGACCACTCACAACTAGGCCTAAAGATTTGGTTGATATACTCAGACTTTGTGTTTTTCCAAGAGTTTTAGACAAAATTGATTCCTCATGAATGTAGATGGTCTACCTCTGAAGGATAATACTCATGCTGTGAATATTTGCTAAAAACTGTTAAATGTGAAAACTCCATGTGAAAAAACCCTTCTAAATCAACAAGGATTCACAAAGACAGAATTCTTTGTGAGGAACAAATACCAACCTTGCTAATTATCTCATTAAAAAGCTAAAGGTTTGAGTGGCTAAACTGTTTATGGAACACAGGTGCCAGAGAGCCTGGACACATTGGAAAAGCCACCAGTCGTGGTTCCAAAGGCATGGTGCTGAGAAACTCTTGCCCGCAATGTTCCCACACAGCTGAAAGGAGGGAATGGTATGGAGACTTGCCCCTCCTGACAACCAGCCACAACTTTGTTTAGATTGAGATCTATTTCTCTGAGGAAACAAATGTCAGCATTACTTTCTTTTTATAATCAATACTCTGAAAGTACAATAAAGAACAGATTTACTAAAGTTGGCTTTTAAAGTATTTATTGGTTTTTAAGGCATCTCCGGTTCCTCTACATCAGTCCATTATGTTAATCAGTTTTGCAGTATAAAATGTGAGGCAGCTAACTTTATAAAAATTCTCTATAACTTTATGAAACATTTATTTAGCTCACAGTTTTGGAGGTTCAAGGACATGATGCTTGTGGTGGCTGAGTTCTTGTTCTTCTGGCTGCAGTGACATCAGGCTGGGTGTGCATAAGGGAGCAAACTCTCACATTATCAGACAGGAAACCGAGAGAGGACAGGCTAAAGTCCCACAATCCCAGTGACCTGAGGACCTCCTAACAGGCCCTACTTCCCAAAGTCCTATGGCCTCCCAACAGCACCACCCTGGGTACCAGCCTTTAACCACAATGGACACTTGGAGGACACTAACCGTAGGATCCATTGTGTGGAGATGCTTGGGCCCTCATCCTGCCCCTGTCTAGCATTTGTGCATGACTAATTTATGTGTGCCTTGGAGTAGGTACCAATAAAAAAAAAAACCTGGGAATTTGGTAGTGTTCCAGATTTGGTGGAGAGCCTATATCATCACATTTTGCAATCATAAAAACATATAACCATGACTGCCATGTTATACGTGTGGTGACATCTACAGCCATAGTTAACAGTCTCTACTGAGTCTATAGTCATGTACGCTGCTGAAAAAGAGAACATGAAAACAAAAATAGATCTCTGAAGGTCTGTGAGTTTGGAAGCCTTTTGAGTGAGAAAAGACATGTGAGATCTGTTAGGCAGTATTGGTATAGAGGCTTCCAGGTACAGTTTGTCTATCATTGTAGTACTATTACCTTCACCTGAATACTCTCTCCTCTGCCTCTCCACACTCCAAAATCTATCATTACTCAGGCAAGATGAAGTAAATAAACCAAACAGTCCTATAACTATTAAAGAAATTGAATTTGGCTGGGTGTGGTGGCTCACACCTGTAATCCCAGGCCTTGGGAGGCAGAGGCAGGAGGACCACTGTGAGTTCAAAGCCAGCCTGGGCTACATAGTGAGTTCAAGGCCAGTCTGAATTACACAGTGAGACCTTGTCTCAAAAAAAAAAAAAAAAAAGGAAGAAAGAAAGAAATTGAATTTGTATTTTGAAATCTGATCAAGAATCCTCTAGGCTGAGATAATTGCACTAGATAATTTTTTTGAAACAAAACGTTTGTTAGTACATTTTAGATATACATAATGATAACATTCATCATAGGGAATTTGTATCTATACATGGTACATCTTGCTTCTTTTTTCTCATTACTCCCTCTTTAATCCTTCTTCCCTAGATAATTTTATCATTCAAAGAATTAATGGCAATTTTACATAATCTCTTCCAGAAAGAGGAAGAAATACTTTCCAGTTACTTTTAAGAGACCATTATAACCCTATTACCAAAGCCATACAGTTACAACATACACAAAGAAAACTATAAGCCAATGGCTCTCATGAACTTAGATACAAAAATATTTAGAAAATTTTAGCAATCAAATGATGTATAAGAATAATGAAACACCATGACCAAGTAGAATTCTTCCCAGGCATGTAAGCTGTTTCAATATTAAAAATCAACTTGTGTAATGTGCCTTATCAACAAGCTACAAAAGAAAAGTTTTACCAATTTTTATCAATTGACACAAAAATACTATTAGAAAGAATTCAATACCAATTCATGATTTAAAAAATAAAATCCTTATTAACAATGGTAATGAGGGAAATTTTCTCAACCTCATGTAGCTAACATCATTCTTTTTTTTTTCATCATTCTTGATAGTGAAAGACTAATTGCTTTCTCTGTAAGATTGGGATCAAGATAAGTTATATGTGATCTCACCATTCTTTTTTTTTTTTTTTTTTTTTTTTGGTACTGGGGATCAAACTCAGGACCTTGTGCTTGCGAGGCAGGCAGCAGAATCACTGAGCTAAATCTCCGGCCCAGATCTCACCATTCTTATTCAACATTGTATTGGAAGTTCTAGCCATGATAATAAGCCAAGGGGAGAAATAAAAGACATGGAAACTAAAAAGGAAGAAATAAAACTGTCCCTATTTGCAGATGGTTTTGTCTACATAGAAAATACCAGGGAACCTACAAAAACTTCCTATAACTTACAAGTTCAGTAGGGACACAGGATATAAAATCAACACCAAAAGCCAATTACATTTCTATATATTGACAACAAACAAGTGAAAGCCAAACTAAAAAATAAAACACCATTTACAGTTTCCCCAGATAAAAATGAATACTTAATTATAAATCTAACAACACATGTACTATATCTAGATAACTGATGTTATAAAATGCTAATTGAAGAAATCAAAGAAGACCTCAATCTGTGGGGTGAATGATCATTGTTAGGGACTGAATGACACAGTGAAGATGGCAATTCTCTCTAAATTAACCTACAAGTTTAACACTATTCTTGTCAAAATCTAGCAAGGGTTTTTTTTTTTTTGTAGACATAGAGAAGCCTATTCTAAAATTTATGTAAAGAGAGAAAAATACTAGAATAGCCAAAATAATTTTAAGAAAGAAGAATAAATTGGGAAGAATCACTCTTTCTAAGTTAGGACTTACTACACAGCTATAATAACCACAATTGTTGTTCTGGAGGAAGGCTTGAGACACAGATAAGTAGAACAAAAGGGGGACCCAGAAATAGATATAAATCAGACCTGGAAATAAATATCCAATATATTTTTGTCAAAGGAGCTAGAACAATTCAATGGAGGAGAGAAAGCCTTTGTAACAAATGGTACTGAAGCAACTGAGTATTAGTAAGAAAAAAATGCAAAACCCAAACTTCACCCCTTATACAATGTATAACTCAATATGGATCATGACGGTAAATATAAAACTTCTAAAAAGTAGGAGATGATCTTCGAAAGAAGGACTACATAAGGAGTTTCAGACTTGAAAATAAACTCATAAAAAGAAACACTGACAAATAGCACCTTATTGAAATTAAAATTTTTGCCTCTGTCAAAGGCCCTGTTAAAAAGATGAAAATAGGATCCATCATGTTGGACTGGCAAGCAGGACTCAGAAGCTGCTCCACAGATCCAGATGAGTAATTTATGTAACTGCATACAGAGACAGAGAGGGTAGAAAGACCCTGGGATGAAATACAGAAAGTTTAGTGTTTAGAGTAATAAGTGACATAGCAGAAGTAGCACACACTGGCAATGAATTCAAGCAGCTCAGTGGGTGAGCAGAACCTCCCTTTCAGCAGGGCTGAAAGAGAAAAATCTAAGCATACCTTTAAGAATGTACACTTGGCTGCAGATAAGCAGGCTGAGCAGATGGATGACCTGAGCTCTGACAAGTGACTGGGTGCAGGAGAGGTTAATGCCTGGTATTTCCCAGAAAATACAGACAGTGCCTGGAAGGGGGAGCCATCTTAAGAACTTTCCTTTGCCTCAGTAGACTGCTCAGTAGATCAAAAACTCAACAATTTTGTATCTTCAAGATACATCAGCCATTTCTTTTCAGGGAGGCAGACGGTACCATCCTTAAGAATTAGCTTGGACCCAGAAGAATGGTGATCTTGACACAAAGTAAGTAAGATTATGGGGAAGAGGGAAGCTCCTCTGTGTCTGGGCTGTGGGAAATAGGATTTTAGTTAGGCATAGAAATACCAGGCATGGTAGTTGCTAAGCAACATAAAACTCCGGAGTGTGGTGGGGGTGGGGGAGGGGCTTCAACCAGGTGAAGGAAAATGCCAAACACAAACAAAAAAAGGGGGATTTGAACATTGTGGCAGGAAAGGATTCCAGTTATGTGAACATCTGTGGGATCTGGGGCCTGGGATCAGGAGTACTGCTGCTAGGACTACTGGTAGAAAGTTGGGGGCCTATGGTTTCTTGACTCAGTACACACCTTGTGCACCCCATGGCCTCTACCCTGACCAGAGGCATTGAGAGTCTAAGATGCAGCACGGACACTTGCCAGTGGTGCCCCCAAGAGAATGGACTGGTGATCTCCAGAACTGGGGCACACAGTCCAGACCTGGGTACAGACCAGGTGAGTGAGTGGCTTGATGGGCAACCCAGTTCTTCCTGTACATTATTCCCAGGCACAAACAACAAACAAGCAGCCAAACTGAGCTGTCAGATGTGAATCTTGTTCTACCACTGACACATTTGCCTTAGTGCCTATTTTTGAGCATGAAGGAGTGGAGTTCAGCATACAGACTGCCCAAATAGTTTCTCCTACTTGGACAGAGGCTGAGAACTCTGAACTAAGGAAGTGCAGTGTTCCGACAATAGAAGTCCAGGGGAAATAATTGTCTCCTTTAGAAAGATCTCCACAAGAAGGAATGTGTGTCTTGTTTTTCTAAACTCTTCTTTTTCCTTTTCTCCTTTTTCTTTCCTTTTGTTCCCTTTCTTTACCTTCTCTCGTTGTGTGTGTGTGCTAGTTTTTAATTTTGCTTCTATAGAATTCTTTCTTGTAATGGAATCAAAGTCTGTGCAAATAGGGAAGGGTGGAGGGGGTGAAGGATGCACAGGTAATGGAAGAAAAAATAAAAACTAAGATATATCATTTTCAGGTACAAACACCCAATGATAAATGTAAATGTATTGTATACCTAAAATGTACCTCTCTCTATATATCTACATATCTATCTATCTATATATATAGAATTCTTTCTTGTTTTGTCATATTTTCCTGCATTAATTATTGTTTCTTAGTGCTATTTAATTTTGTTTTTATTCGTTTGTTAATTGGTTTTAATCTCCCTATCCCTTCTCTCAGGTCCCATTTAAATTCTCTTCTCTTATTTCTTTCCTTTTCCTTTTATACCTTCTTCTGTCTCTTCCTTCCTCTAATTTTTATTGTATTATATATATAATTAGTATCAGTATGAATATCATTAATTCTACTTTTTTGT